TTTAGGTATTTTTGCTAAGTTAGTAGATTGTTAATGTACACGATTTCTCCTTCGAATCACAACAATAGTGAAACTTGAAATTTGTCATAAAAGACTTAATTTGATATGTTGTAAATGCAAATCATCGTGCATAAATAATATATCAAAAGACTCAAAATATCAAGAGGAGCTCATATCTAATATTTGAGTCTAGTGAGGCGATTCGAGTCAGTTGAGATTGAAAAAAAAATCAATTATATATTATGAAAGACAAATTATTATATATATATAGTTACTATTTATAGAATATTGATGCATTGCATAACTATTATAAAATATTTATATATTACGCATGAATGTAACTTTTTTTTTACCATTTGTTCAGTTTCGTACCCGCCCCTCCCCCTTCCATCTTACAAATCTTTACTTTTAAGATATCGATTTAATTTATCTATGATTCTTTAAAATTATTCGCATAACTAATTTAAATACTTTAATTTAGGTTTGTACCTAAATTGAATGCATATGCACCTTAAGAATGATACATATTCGATAATTATTTTATAGTTAGCAAAAATATGTGATATGTGTACTACAATTGCTGTGACATGGAAAATTAATAAATTTAATAATGATATGTACATTTGGTTCCAAAAAGTTATTTAAAAATGAATTTCTAAAAAGTTAACTATTTTAGTCTATTTAGCTAACTAAAAGAAATAAAAAAGAATTTTTTAAAAAACCCACCCATCCACCCCACGACAACCCTTCATATTTTTTTTTCTCTAGTTGATCCAAATCGTCCCCAACTCTCCATCAAGATCCCTCCCTCAATCGATTTTTTCCATTACAATCCTCTTCTCTCCCTCATTTTTTGGTACGAGGAAGCTGAAAACGGTTTCATCGGAAAATTTTGAATTTTTATTACCATGATAAAAATAAAAGTTACCTAACATATTTTTCTGAATTTTATAACTGATGTTTTTTTGGAGTGGAAGAACTCTTTTTTTTTTAACTATCAATTTTAATTATATGAAACTAGTGAACTTAGTCGCGCTTTGCGCGATAAAAAATTATTCGTTAAATCTGTTAAATAATAAATTTTTTTAAATAGTTGATTATTAAATATATTTCTAAAGATTCTTTATAGTCTTTAATCTAAATATATCAAATTTTAAGTCTTACTTAAGTTTATTATTAGTACTTAAATTTTATATCTTTTGTAATTTGAAATCGCTTAAGAATTTTTGAAATTATAAAAGAAAATCTTAAATTTATTCTCTTTATTTTAATAAGAAAAGTAAATTTAATGTAATAAGTTGAACTCTTTATGAAATTTAAATTTAATTTAATAATATAATAAGTTTAATGTAAATATAGTTTTTTTCTAATATTTATTCTTTTCCTTCAAAAGTATTATACTTTCCTTTAGTAATGAATTTTTTTTCATCTTTCACTAAATCTTAGATTATGAAATGTTTGTAAATTATTTTCTATCTTGACTAATTTTACTACGATTATAATATACTGCCTATTATTTATATAAAAATGAATAGATTCAAAGATAAATAGTCTCAATTACGTAAATAACATAAAGTATTCAAATAAATTAAACCCAAATTATATATATGTATTAACTAAAATACAACTTTAAACTTACCTATATTTTAGTTACAATTTCTAAATTATTCTAAAAGGTAAACATAAATAAAAATTGTGAAATTTTCCTAATCCTCAAAATTGATTTCATTATTCAAAATAAAATATATACAATGTTGAAACCATTAAAAAACCTTAAAAGATAATAAACAAAACGATTCAAGTCTTCAAAGTTAAAATTAATATACCTGAAATTTCAATAATATTATTTAGTGTAGGTATAAATTATAATTAGATAAATTAATCAAAGAATCCTTGTTGGAGTACCAAAGAAAATTAAAATAAATTAAAATTAAACAAATAAACAAAACAATCTTTGTAGGAATACCAAAGAAAATTATCCTAGCCTCTAATTATTCAATTTGTACACACTCTCAATGTTCACTACACCATTTGAAGATTAATGGACATAAACATTAATGTAGAGTTCCTTTTCCTTGTGAGTTTATGAAAGTTAAACTTAAATATTGTCATATGTTCATCTTGTCTTCCATTATAAATAATAAAGATTATTTTAAAAAAATGCGTAAAATTACACTAAAATCATCAATAATGAGGAAAAAAGCAATTAAAAAAAAGAACAAAAAAATATTATAAATAAAAGACATCAAACAAACTGAAATAAAAAGAGTAATATAAGTGAAATATTGTATTCATCAAAATTGAATTTGAATTTCCAAAATTGTCATATACTCGTCTACTCGCCCACACTGTTAAGTGTTAACAATAGAAGTTAGTCACAAAGAACTCTCTCTCTCTCTCTCTCTCTCTCTATATATATATATATAGACATAATCAAAGTGATGTACCTTGGTAACTCAAATTAGATATTGTTCTCATTGAATTTGAATTTCCAAAATTGTCAAATGCTCATCTTATCTTCCACATTGTAAAAGTTAGTAACAAATAAACTATATATTATAAAATTAGAAATAACCAAAGTGATGTACTTTAGTATAAATATGATAAAGAAAGGGAAAATAAAATAAAAAATTCTTGCATTGGTGAAGATGACATGGTTTTAGTATTTATAGTAATCCATAACTATTGAATAAATAAATTAAAAGAGTAATGGAGTAATCAATACCTACAATTGTAACTTATATTGGTCATTAGTGTCTTAATTATAATTTAGTTAATACTTTTAAGAAGGAATAGGGAAATGTTTAATTATTTAAAGGGATAAATTGTAACTTATATATACCTAAAATAATAAAGGTATCAATGGAGGAATTTAAAGAGAAATAATGAATAGAGGATATTTATTTAATTTAACTAATATATCAAGATAAAATTAAGAGAGAGAAAAAGCTTTAAAAAAAATAAAAATATAAATTCTAATGCTGGCCTATGAGGGTGCCACATCAGCACTTTCATATTCAGATTTATATATATATATAGAGATTTGATGATACCATTTCTAAATAAGCTTAATTAGTTTACATTTTAATTTGAAGTGGTGATGTCTATTTGAGTGATCAAAAATAGATATGAATGGAGGTCCGGCCAACTTTTTAACTTTAATGTCTAAAAATCTTATTTCTTCTTGCAAAATCACATCAATTCTTAGATTTAGAATTCTTATTTCTTTTTATAAAATCACATCAACTTTTATATATATATATATATATATAGGCATAATACAAAAATATGTCTTTTAACTTAATTTTAAATTACATTTATGCCCTTCAACTGTGAATGTACACAAGTAAACACTTAAACTTGTATAAAGTTGAACAAATAGACACACACATCCTACATGTCATTTTTTGTTCTACGTGTATTTTGTCATGTAAAACTCATGTGTTAATTTATTTAAAAATTAAATAATTAAAATATCTGTTTGTACAATATACAAATTGAAAGTCAATAAATTAAAATTTAAAATCAAATTTAAGATATAATATATATATTATGCCATATATATACAAAGAATGAATGGGAATGAGATAACAAAGAAAAAGAAGGGCTGAGAGTTTGGAGTTCGAGGAAGAAGATGATGGCTGGAATAAGGAGTGGGGATAGTTTCTTTTGTTTGTTAAGAAATCAACTTTAAATAATTTTTAGTTATTTTAGTGCCGAATGTCAATCAAAGAAAAAAGAGAGTTTTTAAAAAATAAATAAAAATAAAATACCATTTGAAACCTATTCATGCGCTAATAATAAAGTACACTTGTGTTAGCCACATCATTATTTTGTGTTTAATAAATATATATTTTAAGCAATTTAGATGTTCAATATATACAAATCTAATTGAGATGTTTAAGTAAAATATGCGGATAACTTTAAAAGTCTATCAATTATTTAAGCCTAAGATATTAAATAACTTTTTAGTATATACTTTAATTTTTTAAAAACCCTTTGAATTTTGGCTTAAAAGATCGTAACTTACATGAATTCACTAGTTTAGTAACTATTTACCTTTCTTTTCTTTACTTTTAAGTTATTCAAAATCTATTATAATATAGGCTTCAATTTGATACTTTCTCCGTCTAAAAAAGAATATCTTTATTTTCTTTTTAGTTTGTTTAAAAAAAATGATCCTTTTTTTTGGCAATACTTTAACTTTAATTTTTCACGTGACATGTTTAAGACCACAAGATTAAAGGGTATTTTGGTACATTTGACATAACTTTAATTTAGAACTATAACATTAAAAATTTTATTTCTTTTCTTAAATTCCGTTTCAAGTCAAATTAGGTTTTTTCTTTTGAAATGAAGGGAGTATAAGTAATTTTACTCACTTAGAATTAAAATTATATTTAATTTATTCTAGACACTATATGATTCTGTCACTTGTCTTTCTCCTATTTCATTCTTCACTCTCCAATTTTGCTTGCCTCAATTTTTGTATTGGATATTTCAGATACATATATCTAATATGATTTGTATGTATTTAGAATACACAAACTATCGCGTCGCTTCTCTTTTTATTTTAATGTATCTAATAGTAAAATATTATATCTAAATTTATTTAACTTAAAATTTAGGACAATATGTAATTAAAATTAAATGAGAAAATTACGAGGTTAAGCAAATTTATACTACTTAATTACTCATTATAGCTATAATTTCTTATAATTATCACCCACTACTAACATTATACATTAATTATGTAGGCTGATTTCGAGTTTGTATATATATAATTCAGCAAATTATACAAATACATATGTATAATATACAATTATTTTATCAATATACATATACAATTCACCTCTCTCTACTCTCCTTCCTCTCTTGCTCGCCTCTCTCCCAATCTTGCTTGTTTTTTTATATGAATGCATAAGTATAATATAAAATTATCTAACAAATATATATATATACAATTCACCTCTCTCCCACTCTCTTCCCTCTCTTGCTCACCTCTCTCTTCTTCCTCCTAATCTCGCTTGTTATATATACAAATAAGTATGTATAACATATAATTATCTAACCAATATATATATATATATATAAATCACCTCTTTCACTTTTTACTCTCTTACTTTTTGTCCTTTCTTCTTCCTAATATGTAGCTACGAATTGTAATTATCAAATTATATCATTAAACTATGTTTTAGTGGCTATATGCTAAAATCTCCAATAAAATACCTCTCTTTTCGTCAAAAAAACCACCTCTTCCAGAACCCCATAATCGGGCAGCCTTGTATTTTGTGAACTTCGACCGGCGACATCTCTCAGTGACGGCGTCAGTGACGGCATCAGCGACTGTGTGTGGACGAACCTTCTTCCGTCTGTAATTCTATCTTTTTCTTTCCTCTCTGTTTCTATGACAAAGCTTTACCTTTCTATATTTTCGGCATTGACAATTGGATTTTGACAAGTAGGAAAAATGAATAAAACTTGGAACTGTATTTGCTTTTGTCTCTGCCATTCATGCATAATGCAACAACATATGTATAGCAGATTATTTGTGAGTATGCAAATTTGATAATCTTTTTCCTTTATTAATGTACAGAGTACTGAACAACTTTCAGTAGTGAGAACAAATGGTGAGGCCTTACAAAGTAAAAGGGGAAAAAGGAAAAGAAAGAAGACAATTATGATAAAGAAGAAATAGAGGAATCTCTGTACGACGACTCAACAGGATCAGCAAAAAGAGTGAAAACACAACATACTGCCTCAGACACTGAGGCAGCTGAAAGAGTTGTAGATTTACTAGCTGGCATACCGGTTGTTTTACCGATCAAAGCACTAAACCTAGAAATTGGAAAGGTCTGTTTTAGCAATGCCATTTTCAATTTTCATCCGCTAACTGTTTCTTGTTTTTCTTTGTATGTCTGCTTTAGCTTATTGACTGCTTTATGATTTTTTTACCCAATTGCTCGTGAAATTGTCTTTAATATTACATATACTGCTCAATAAAGGAAGTTAACCAATGTCCAATGATATATCCTCTTGGACATGCAGACTTATCAACTTCTGAACTCAGATGAACACTCCCAACTTTCTGAGGAAGAATAATCAAAATCCTTCTGAATATCGGCCTGATATTGCTCATCAGGTTAGTGGACTTTGAAACTATTGGCCCAATCTTGTTCTTTATTACTCATAATAGTGTAAACACTGTGACCTTCCTATAGCGTTCAGATTAAACTTTGTCCTTTGAGGCAATATTTAAATGTGGGGCATAGGTTTTGACTGATGTCCAAATGTTTGTAAACTTTTTGTGGAGATGTCTGGTTGAGTGGTATGCAAAGCTAAAACAGGCAGGCTGGAACACAATTTAGCTTTGTACTGAATGTGTGTGAATTTTCCTGGAGCTCAATTAGTTGACACCAAAACACACTCCCTCTGTCCAATTTGATGATATTTGTCTGGACAAGATTTAAAAAGTAAGGAAGAGTTTTGACACATAAGCTAAATATGTATAAAGGACCAAGACTATCCTCAGTATAAAAGTATTTGTTTATGTGTCTAGTGGAGTCATGACAAGTCATGTCACTGGGACGAACGAAACAGTAAAAGATGTAGGAAATAGGGAATGGAAGTGCAAAAATTCGCTTTTAAAAATATAAGATGACAATCTTTTTTGATGAAAAAGAACGGGAGGATTCACTTAGTTTTTCAACATACGTTCAACAATTATGTGTCCCACAGGCCAAAAAAGGAAAAAGAAAAATTAATATGAAAAGTCAGATGCCTTCTCCACCCACCACCCTCCAGTACTCTTGCAACTCAGCCTCTCTCTATGCTAATAGAGCTGTGCCTCTCTGTTCCATTTTCTTAGTTCTTTTAGTAAGTTACATCACCTTGCTTCTGCTCTAATTGTGTCTGATTCAGATTCTTAGTACTTGTTGGCACTGTAGTAGAAATGAGTTGCAGTGCACCACTGAGACTTCCTTTTTAGTATACATTTTCTTGTTGAAACAGTTCTCCAAAAAACTTTTTCAAACAGATTCTCCCCTCCCATTCCCTTCCCTAAAAGAAGAGAAAATCTATAAGCAACAACTACGCCCTGGTCTCAGTCTAGTGGGGGTTGACTAATGTGAGTCCTCACTATCCATGTTGCTCCATGTAAACCTGTCTCCATCCAATATCTGTAAATTTAAGGTTATAGCACTAAAAGTATTACCTTTACTAGCATTTAAATATCTACTAAACGGCTCATGCAAGACATTAGACCCAAAGAAACATACCAATATGACTAAAGCTTGATTACTAGAGTCTTTCAAGGTCAGGACAATAACAACTGTTTGGAAGATTCATAGAAAGGGCAACTTCACGGTAAAGTCATGTTACTTCCGCTTGAATTCTGGTGAGCAGCACAGGAATCTTGGAGATGTTACCTATGTGGAGACAAGCCTGAGGGTATCAATCATTTATTTTGCACTATAATCCTATGGACCATCTATGGAACTCTTTCTTAATATGGTGGGACTAAAATGGAGCATGCCAGGGTGTACCTGTGAGCTACTAAAATGCTGGAGCATCATAGGCAAAAATTTCTATCACAGGAATTGGGTGGCTAACCATTCTGTCTTGTATATGGTGGACAGTTTGGAGGGAGTGAAGCACCAGGTGTTTTGAAGAAACAGGTAACTATATTCACAAGATTAAGATGAACTGTTTACTTTTGTTTCATTTTTGGTGTAAACAGAATTTTGTAAATGATTCTGAAAGCAGTGATAGAACTCATAGAATCCCTTTGAGAAATGGAAGGATATTCTGATGGTAACTTGTAATGTTTTTGACAGCACTTCCTTGTCCCCATTTCTCAATTTGTGATTTCTTCTTTCCTTCCATAGGCAATGTTACCATTTCAGATAGCCGCGTAAATAAAGCTGGGCGATTGAAAGCGTTATATGTGAAGACTGAAAAAGTGGTCCTCTTTGAAGTAAAACCTCATGTACGTATCCCTATATATTATTTTATTTTTCTGATAAATTTGTGGGAAGTTATAACTTACATGATCAGTTGATATCTGACATATGCAGGTTAGGGCAATGGTCCATGGAAAAATTGAGAAAGATTTCGAAGATTATCTATCAAGTAAGCTAAATGTTTTTCTTTATTTTTCGTCTAAAATTAATTAGAGTTCCATAGTTTGTTTTCTATTCCTTTGTCTTCAATTTACATGGTTGGGCTTTGGTCTAGTGGTAAGATTGCAACACTTGATATGTGGGTTAGGCACACGGTTAGGGGTTTGTCTGGTGTTTAAGTGGAGAAAGGTAGAAGGACTGGCCCATTATCCACTGAGTTACGAACCGTGTACCATTGGCCCTCAGGATATTGCTCTTATAAAAAAATTCACATGTCTGGTCTTTAATGCTTAGGAATGTCAGCATTTGTTATTTGTGTCTTCATATGTTCAACAATTGGTGACACGGATATTATTGATTATCTTCAATGTAAAAGTACTATTCAAGTGACATTTATGCCTTTGGCAATTGAAAAGCAAATAGGTTCTCACTGCAGTAGAATATAGTTGGAAAATTCGAATCTTATACACGTTAGAGATTGTTCTCTCTTCCATGAGTTTTTTGGTTCAGTATTCAGTAACAATAGGGGGTTCCACACTGCTCGTCTGCACCTTAACATGATGCTTCTGACCGCCAATGTCAATTGGCATATACCATAACCCACCTTTGCTGATAAGTTTGACGAGTTCTAGTCCAGGCACCTTTATTTCTATCCTCTTTGATCCGATTATAACTTCTTTTAGACGCGAGGTATGCGTGCATGTTCTATTAAATACTAAACTAGGTCCATCCTATTATCATGATGGAAGTTCTTGCATCTTTTGGAGTTGAAACTTGTCTAATTAATCATCTAATCTATCTTGCAGTTTCCGATTACTCAATGAGTGCTGCCTACTGCATATCAATGATCACAAATGCTGTGGAGCACAAATGGAAAATTTTGTAGACTTGTACCTTTCTCTGATTTTTGTTGCTACATTTAGTTTCTAGAATGTCATCTTAATTTCACATTTATTCTATTTTTAAATTTAAATATATTTTATTTCTCTCTTTTTTTTGTCCCTTGGTCATTTAAGTTTCATATCAATGCAATGAAGGATTAGTTGGTAATCCAACTTTCTCCGGTCAATAATTTAGTGGAGTTGGCCTTTTCTTGAAAGATTAAGAAGGTGATATTTGACTTTTTGTATGGATTGGTCATTTTGAAATGTTTGCAGCAATATACTATTCTGGGTATTTATGGGGAAAAAAAGTATGTAGAATGAGTTGCACTTTCTTCTAATTGGAATAAATAAGGTTGACACATTCCAAGTACGTAGAAGTTTCGGATTTGACTGACAAATTTGTTTTTCTGGAAAACGATGGGAGCGTTCTAATTTAAAAGTACTTTTTTCATATCACATTCAAATTAGTTGCATTATCTTTAAAATAAAAAACAAAGAACTTTTTCCGAAAAGACTACTCATTTTATTTATAGTGTGAATTTAAATACTTTTTAAAAAAAAAAATTAAACCATCTCTAAAAACTACAAAAGATTCCCTAATAAAATCTACCTAACAAAAGAGGGGAGTTGCTGGGATAAACGTCTTTACGTCTTTAGGAGGCCAGGGCGTAATTATCTTGTTATTCGATATCTTTCGTCGGAAAATAATATATAAATACAATAATATATGAAATAATGAAATAGCATATTTTTGAATATCTTGATAGAACATGGTGTTGTAGTTTCAGGTGTCTTAAAGGATGCTCACGTGTTCGAATATTTGAAAAATTCCTCGCTTAGTCACTGTTAGGAAGGTAGGAAATAAAAATTTGACCAACGTTTTCGCACAGCCGTATACCATTTCGATTCCTATGAAGCTCTTTTTGAAGAGCTATTGTTCGATAAAACTCAATAACTTTAATTTAGATTTTATTATTACGTTAAAAAGCTCTTTTTGAAGAGCTATTGTTCCATAAAATTCAATAACTTTAATTTAGATTTTATTATTATGTTAAAAAACTACTTGTAGATAATTTGTTTAATTTTTTTTGAAAATCAAAATTTTAGTTAAGCCTAAATTTTCTTTTAAACGGTAAGAGTATTATTATTTTAGTTCCTTATAATATAAAAACAATATACAGAATGACGTTTTTCTTAAATAGAGAAATAAAAAGGTGAGTTTAAAGAATTGTCCTAAATTAACGGTAGGCGGTCAGGTTATCAACCTGCCTCAGGAGACTAACGATACACGGAAAATGGGAGACCAATCGAATACTAAAATTCCTTTAGAGAAAATTTGCTGAAAAAAAAAGAAAAAAGGTTTCCATATTCATAGTTAATAATAATGAGGAATTATTAATTAATCATTGCTTTTGGTCTTCTCCTAGAGAACGTGCACATTTATGCCTTTCCATATCTATGCTTTTTACAGGTTTTTTTTTTCTCTTCTTTTTCAACAATTTTAGTCCTTTTCCTTTTTGACGAAATTTATGTCGTTGATGGGGTATGTCTTTTTTTTTTCCATGTTGTTTCTTTGTAATGGTGATTAATGTATTGTGGGGTTCTCAATTCTTGGCTTTTAATTTGCATGTGATCATTATTAGAGTTGATTTCAAGATTGAGTCTTTGTTAATTTTAGAGCTTGAAAATTGAAGGTATTAAAACATGGTTATTTTTTTTCTTTGCTAATTATTCTAGGACGGTATTGGAATTGTTAGTGTTATTTGGTAAGTGCTCAATCTTGATCATTTTGTCTCATTATTGGTTATGTAGCTGGAATTTTCCAGGTAGCCTAAGGTGTTTGCTTCTCATAATTTTTTTTTTTGCTATTGTTCTCCTGTCCTTTTTCTATTTTTCAAATGATGTGATGTTTTATTCAATATCTTGATCACTTTTGCTGCATATTGAGCCTAGTAGTTTTTTTTTTAAGGCCAGAGATACGTTGATGCAACTTCAGTATTGATTTCATTTCCTCCACTTCCAATGTTGCTTGTTTGAAATGCATATGTAAAAGAAATAAAAATTGAATGGCAACTCTTTCTCAGTTGTTGAGATGAATTTGGAATTCCTTGGATTATGATTGAGCTGGTTCGAATTACCAAGGGATAAGCTGTCGGGTAATTGTATATTGACTGGGAAACTATCTGATATTTGTGTATAGTGAACCTGCAAACTGTCTGATATGTGTATAGTAAACCTGCAAACTGCCTGATAATTGCGTATAGTGACTTGCTATTTGCCAAGTGTTTGATAGTCGTGTATAGTGAACGTGCAAATTGTCTGATAATTGTGTATAGTGAACTCGCAAACTGTCTGATAATTGTGTATAGTGAACACACAAATTGTCTGATAATTGTGTATAGTGAACTGGCAAACTGTCTGATAATTGTGTATACTGAACTCGCAAACTGCTTCCGTTGTTGAGACAGCCTTTTGGATGAAATGTGTTTCCCTTTTTATGATTTATGGAGGTCAGGGATATATTGATTTCATAATGTCTGTATTCTATGTGATTCAGACGTTCTCTGAATTGAAGACCACACTCTAGTTACCATGATGGATTCAATCCTGGATCGTGTAGCTAAAGACTGTGGTAGACGGAATAGCTCAATTCCATCCACTAGCGGGGACATCTTTGAGCCTTCGTCAAGTAGTAATGGTGAGGCTGAAGGTCCAAAACATTTAATACCATGTATTTGCTGATCAAACTCTTGCTTGGGCTGATTTTCTCTTGGACTGCACTTTCTTATGTCTACAGCTAAGCTACGGGCAACTTTGGTAGTGTGGATAAACGGTCTTCTTCCTTCCTTAAGTTTGCCAGTAAATGCTTCTGATGAGGAGTTACGAGCATACTTGGTTGATGGTACTATCTTGTGTCAATTGTTGAACAAGTTGAAGCCAGGTTTTATACCAGAGGTGGTAGTTATATATAAGATTTTACAGTAATTAGAAGCTAGGGGTTGGTTTTGTTTTGATGATCTGACTTACTGCATCTTTCATTCTAGTTTGGTGGTTCAGGCCTTTCTTCGTCGTTAGGCTCAGAAAATGTAAAACGGTTTTTGTCAGCTATGGATAAAATGGGCTTGCCTAGATTCCAAGCATCAGATTTAGAAAAGGTTAGCATTAATATAGCGTTGTGCTCTTGTGTTCTAATATACGTTCATTATTTTGTGTCTCCTTATCATTATATAAGTGGTTGAATGTGTTAATTCACAGGCCATAGAGTTGTATGTATTATAATATGCAGAGAAGTGTAACTTTCTGTACCTTTAGGTACAATTACACATCATTTTTCTGCTTTTATTTAATTTACTCTGATACGTTATCCAGGGATCCATGAAAATTGTTCTGGAGTGCCTTTTGACACTTCGAGCAGAATTTATGCCGGATGTTGGAGGATATGGTTCGACCACACCACTATCTCGCAAATCTGGCGCTGATGTAGCTCACAGACAGGAACTGTCGAGTACTCATTCTTCCCCATCCTCCACAGAAGGCAGACGAAAGATAGGATCAGATTCAAAGTTCCAGCGTGCTTTGAGAAGTCCCGTGATGGCAGGTATGGTTGTTTAAATCTCATCCCTTGACCCATTCTTTTCCATGATTTCATTTGAAAAATGCACTAACAGAAAATGCAATAGGTATAACATGGAAGGGCCTCCCTTCAATGTCATTATTCATCAAGTGTTCTATTTCACATTTGTATTGAAACTGTCAATCCTCTTCTGGTCTTTTTAGCTGAAGAATTAAACTATTGGTGAATTAGCTTTAGATTTTTATGTTTTAACTACTTTCCAGAACTCCACTTATGATTTTTCTTTTCTTAGAGTGTTGACTTCTGTCTTTTAAACTTTATATAGAGCCATCAGCTGCATTACTACATCACGTCGGACATAAGTTCCATGAAGTATTTCAGCTTAAACAAGGGGGCTATGCTGATCTTCCCCCCTCAAAGATTTCCGAAATGATGAAATCTAACAGCTTGGATGTTAGTAACATGTCCTTTTTCGTCAATTAAAGCTTGACTAGATTTTTCATCTCAAAATTTTGATTTCATACTTATTGTTTTGCATCAGATTGCCCCAACGCAGTCACTTCTAAGTGTTGTGAATGAGATTCTTGATGAAAGCATTGAGCGGAAGAATGGAGAGATACCTCATGTACGCACATAGAGATGAAAAATATTCATGATTGTGTTCTCTTCTACACGAATACATCAGAAAAATCATGGCTTAACATTATTTAGTTGTTTAATTCTGTCAGCGTGTAGCATGCTTGTTGAGAAAAGTAGTGCAAGAAATTGAGCGGCGAATCTCTACTCAAGCTGAACATCTTAGAACGGTATAATATACCTTAGATGTTTTCTCCCAAATTCTCTTGATAATGAACCTTGCTCATGAAATTTACTCCGTCTGTAGCAAAACAATTTATTCAAGACTCGCGAGGAGAAATACCAGTCGCGGATCCGAGTCCTAGAAGCCCTTGCAACTGGGACTAGTGAAGAGACGCAGGTAGTGTAAAACTACCCTCTGTAGAAAAAGTTCTTGAAGTCTTAGAAAATCTTACTTCTTCAAGAGTTTATGCATCCTTCACCCACACAGTCTTTTATTTCAGATTGTCATGAACCAACTTCAGCAGATTAAGGTAGTTCACCGCCTCTCTTCCTCTGCCACATTGTTTATGCAACAATGGTTATATTTAGTGGTACATATGTGTTCTGTAGTACCATTTCCTGTGATTTTGTATGTATTAACTCTTAATACGTCAAACAACATCTTCTCTAGTGTTATATATCTACTCTGCCTACAATTTATCATTGCTTGTGTTATATGAAATTAGCTATTGATTCAAAAGGATCTGATGAGACTCGTTTCTGCAAAGAATATTTAGCTGATTATGATTCTCTTCCACGACGAGTTTAGCATCCTTTTTTGAATTGAGATCGTATTACAGAGTGTAAAAATCAAAATGGATGCGGAAAAGAGAAATGAGGATCAGGATGTGGTTAGATTGATGAAGGAGAAGGATGATCATAGTCAAGAGATTGCAGCTTTGAAGCAAGAACTAGAAACAGCTAAGAAAGCACATGAAGAACGCTGCCTTGAAATGGAAGAAGAGGCCAGAACTACTCAACAAAAGCTTGAGGAGAGGTTGAAAGACGTTGAGATCCTTTTAAAAGAATCACAAAGCAGAGCAAAAGAAATCGAGACATTTTCTGAATCAAAATCACTGAAGTGGAGCAAGAAGGAGAACGTGTACCAAATATTCACAGAATTCCAGCTTGGCGCACTACGTGTATGCTTTGATCTTTTCCTCTTAATTTGTGTATATTTAGTTGTTTATCACATCTGATCTGGATCTCCATAATCTTCAGGAACTGAAGTTTGCTTCTCAGTCAATAAAGCAAGAAGTAGTGAAAACACAACGGAGCTACGCAGAGGAATTCAATCAATTAGGTCAGTGCTGTATGAATAACATTTATTGGAAGCATATAGGTGTAAGATTTCAAAATAGATTTCACTGTT